TTAGTTGTGTTGTTTCAATAAAATTATGTGTCAGATTTACTTAAAGGTAAACTAAGTCATTCAGAGTGGTTTGGTGTGAAATGCTCTGTTCTGGTGAAACAAATCAGAATTGGTCACAGTGGTGGTGATAGGAACCAAACGAGTTTTTAAAAAGTTCCTTCACAGAAAATTATTAAATGAAACAGGTAGATGCTGCCTGATGTCTATTGTTTTATGATAGTATTGTGGTGAGGTTTTGGTTTAATATGTATCTTAGTTCATTTATAGCTCTACCCAGAGCTCTTTCTCACCTGGAGAAGTCTGGGAGCACTGTGAGAATCATGTTCTTTGATTTCTCCAGTGCTTGTAACAACATACAGTTTAGGATCCTGAGGAACAAGCTGGAGAACACAGGGGTGGATCACCTCCTATCAAACTGGATTCTGGACTATCTCACCAACCGACCACAGTATGTGAGGGCACGGGCCTGTGTGTCTGACATGGTGTTCAGCAGCACAGGGGCCCTGCAGGCAAGAGTCCTGGCACCGTTCCTCCTCACCCTGTACACTGCAGACTTTGCGTACAGCTCACCAAACTGCCATCTACAGAGGTTCTCTGATGGCGCAGCGATCACTGGACTCATTACAGATGAGGACGACAGAGAGTACAGAGAACTGACCCAGGACTTTGTGGACTGGTGTCTGAGGAACCACCTCCTGATCAATGCGGGGCAGACCAAAGAAATAGTGGTGGATTTTCACAGATGCAGTCACCTCCCTACCCCAGTGAACATATCAGCTCCGTCCTGGGGAGCCCCCTAGACCCAGTGCAGGCGGTGGGAGATAGGAGGATGTTAGCCAGACTAGCATCCATGCTGGAGAACAGGTCCCATCCCATATATGAGACTCTGGGCAGCTCCTTCAGTGAGAGGCTGCTTCACCCCAAGTGTGTGAAGGAGCGCTATCGCAGGTCCTGCCTTCCTGCTGCTGTTAGACTGAACAACCAGCACTACTCCCAGTAGAACCTCCTCCACCCCCCATTAGACCTATTATACCTTTGTGCAATATAATCAATACTCCATGTGTAACACTTGTAAAATAGCTCTACAGTGTAAAGCTTTTCTGTTTATACTGTTTATATTGTTAACTCCTCACCATCCCATGTGCAATATGAATCAGTACCTCATGTGCGATACTATATGTGAAATTTGGGTAAAATATCCTTACAGTGTAAATATTTTAGCTTTTATTTATTTATAATTCTATATATTGTTAATGTTTGTGAAGGATAGAGTTTATATTTTTATCTTATTTTTTACTTTTAGTATTATATATATTGTCTATATAGTAAAAAGTAACAAGCCGGTTAATTACTTGCTGGTTAATTCTTCTTTTCTTGAGTGCCTTGCTCTCCCTTTGCTGCTGTAGCTCTGTGAATTTCCCCATTGTGGGACTAATAAAGGATTATCTTATCTTATCTTATCTTATCTTATCTATATTGTTTAATGGTGGAGGGATACATGTGAGGGCATTGTGAGGCAAAATAGTCCCCGAAGATTCAGATTTTCCACCATTTTACCATCATCAACATTACAAACACTCAGAAGACACATGTAGGTTCACTTTTGGACAGTAAATGACTGTATCTGTGTTGTAGTCATGGTGACCCCTGGTTCCTATCACCACCACTGTAAAGAAATCTGAGTCTCTACAGTGAATCATTTCACATCAAACCCACTCTGAATGACTTTGTTTACATTTCAAAGACAAATTATTCAGAAATTAAGGAAAGTTGGTGGAATTCCCCTTTAATAAATGTTTGTTTGGTCAATGCAGTAAAACTCTTTCCCGTTGGCTCCTGACTTCATCTATTAGCATAGTGTTTTATTTATTTATACTCACCCTCCTCGTGTTGTCTTTCCTCCTGCTCTACCTTCCTCTGAGCTCTTCACATCTCTTATCCTTCACGGTTCACTGCAACTGCTGAAGAAAACATGAAGACCATTAAGTGTTTCTGTTGGTTGCTGATGGTTTTGTAATGTGTTGTGGCTTTTTAAATAGTTTGAAATCACAGTGCAAAGGATCCTAGTGGTTTAACAGGTGACCAGTGGCTGATTCTGAATGCATTTGACGGTTTCCTAATGGGATCTAAAGGTGTTCTACAAGAAACTAGTGGTCTCTATTGAAAACTGTTAAACCAATTCCCATTAGAAAGTAAAACCATTAGGTTTTAACCCTGATGGTTTCTAATGGTTCTTTTTCAGCAGGGGTTACACTGCTGAGTGTAATTCTGGCAGCTCAGTAGCACATCATGAAATTATGTAGATGGGTCATTCTACAGAAATGTTCACTTTTCTATCTCTCCATAGGAGTCACTGGTGTACTGATCCTCATTGGTGTTACACATAATAAAGGTAACACCAGAGACATTTTTAATGAAAAATGTGTTTTAAAAAATGACTGCTAAAGAGCATCAAACCACATGTTGTCAATCATGGAACATCCACTAAAATATGTATCTGAGCTCAGGACTGGCTTTCTCGCTAACCTATTTGTAGCTAGCAAAGATACTTTCTCTAGATAGACAAAACACGTTCTGTAAGTCGCTCTGGATAAATGCTGTAAATGTAAATGTAATTTAATCCATTTGTATTCTATTTTTTCACAGTTACCTCAGAATAAAGTCGGTCACACCAGTGACTTCAGCTAAAAGCTTCATATGAAATCATGAGCTAAATGAGAAAATCTCTGATAACTGAAAGACACAGTGGACTCACCATGTGCTTTTCTTCGTAGATCCTCAAAAAACAGGTAAAAGGAAGTCAAGTGATGTCATCAGTGTGATTTTTATTTCAAAATAAGAGATTTTTTGATATGCAGTAACACCAGTGACATGACTCCTGGGGACAACAACTTTCATTATATATTTTATAATATTTATTTGTTTTCTTTATGTCATTTAATTAATATATTTCATAGTCTTGTATAGATTATTGCAGTTAAAATTGAAGAAAACATGTTTTTTACCTGAAAATATGGCCTCAGCCTTCACGCATGACTGTGGGGACGAGCTCTTCTGTGGTGCTTGGAATTCTAGATAATTGATTTAAAAACCAATATTGCCAAATTGAGGCTCAAGAAGGTGTAATTCTTAAAATAATGTATTGTTTTATTTTAAAACATAAATAAATTGTAACACTAACATGTCTTTCAAGTGTAATATATCTGTAAACGCTAGGAACACAAAAATGGACATTTCTGTAGAATGACCTATGACATGAAATCTATTGACCTTGTCCTTTTTGTATTGCAACCCAAACAGCCTGTAATTCACTGTAAATTTACATATGAAGAAAGATGACTTTTAATTTTAGCAGACCTATAAATGTTATTTGTTGTTCATTTAAACAAAAGTAAAGAAAACTAAACTAATATAAAAATAATATCAATGAACATATTGATTAATTATTAGTTTTTCACTGGATATGCACATATTTTCTTTTTGCTAGTTAAATTTTGCATTGATTACACATAAACTGACACATAAACCTCTAAACGGCTCCTCGGTACCTGAGTGAACATCTCTCATACTATGAACCATCACGCCTGCCTAGATCACAAGGTGCTGCTCACTATTAGTACCTAGAATTAATGAAAGTTACATCAGGGGGTGGAGCTTTCTCATACAAAGCCCCCCAGCTTTAGAATATCTTCCAGTCAGTGTTCGGGACTCAAATACAGCCTCAGTCTTTTAGTCTAGGCTGAAAACTCACTTATTTAGTGGTGACTTTGGTAATTAGTTTTCCCTGTTAGATAAAAGGTGCAGATCTGGGGGGTTCATGGTCATAGAGTATTATGGGTAAACTGGGAGTGTTGGTGCCGTCGTCCTGCTGCTCTCACATGTTCACACTCAGGTTTGCTGACAGTGGAGTGGAGGGGTGCTGACACCTCAGGGAGCCTCATGTCTCTGTTACCTTTCTGGCTCCTCCCTTTTAGTAAAGGGCTGTAATAACTAGACCTGCTGGAGTCTCTGCTGCTCTGTTACACTGTAATCTGTGATCAGTCACTCTTTACAGTACTGACTCTGCTCACTGCTCACTGCTCACCAGCCTTCTGGACCGGTTTGACCACCATGGAGCTTCACGCTGTACAACGCTGTGCAAACCTCACCCTCATGAACTGACCCTTCAGATGATTCTGCTGCTGCTGCATGAACCCAAACTATCTAATTAACCATTGCTCCACCTGTTTCCCCCCGTTTTGTATTCTAATATTATATTCTAACACTGTTTCATATCCGGTGTGGACCAGAGGAGGTCTTGGTGTCTTGTGGTCCCTCTCAGTGTTTCTTCCTCTTGTTCTTAGGGAGTTTTTCTTTGCCACTGTTTCCATTGGCAACGCCGTTTTAATTGTCTTACAATTTGCACAAACATCACCAAAAAGTACTCAGTATTCCAGCTTTAAACAAAGTGCAAAGCTTTAAAAGAGAGAGAGAGAGAGAGAGACAGAGAGAGAGAGAGAGAGAGAGAGAGAGAGAGGAAGAGAGAGAGAGAGAGAGAGAGAGAGAGAGAGAGAGAGAGAGAGAGAGCCTGTCTTTCAATGAAAGAGCATTTTCTCTCAGTCTCCTGTCCATCACGCGGCTGTGAGGTGCCAGATCGTGTTCTCTGTCTTTCTGAACACAAACGCAGCTGATGCAGTTTTCCAGCCGAACTTTCCGCGAACAGAACTCAAACAAAGCCGCCCCACAATAGATCGCTTGACACAGCAAAGGCCGCGCTCGCGAACAATGGCAGCCTTTCTGTTGGCGCGCGCTCCGGTGAGCCGTGGTGCCCGCTGGAAGAGTCCAAATGCAAAGTTTTCTCTTTTTTTCTCTTTTTTTCTTTAGCTATTTCGCCGGACGGGCCGAGCGGGCGGCGGTCAGTCCAGCATGAGCCCTCAGAGGGTGAGCAGCACGGTTTTCACACACTAAAGGCGGACTGAGGGGGCACTGAGCACTGAGACAACAGAGAAGCGCGCGCAGCCATGTTCAAGACCAGCTACACGCGCGAGGTGCGCAAGGAGAAGTTCGAGCGCTCGGATGTGTTCGAGGAGCCCGAGGGCGAGGCGGGTCCGCGCGCGCACCCCGCGCTGCCCGCCTGGGAGAGCCTGCAAGAGCTCAACAGCCGCTTCGCGCGCTACATCAACCGCGCGCGCGTGCTCGAGCAGCGCAACGCCGTCTTCCGCAAGCAGCTGGAGACGCTGCAGCGCATGGAGGAGGCCGCGGGGCTCGAGGAGGAATTCCACGAGCAGATCGGCGTCAACAGACAGCGCATCCGCGAGCTGCTGGCCGAGCGCGCCAAGCTGGAGCGCGAGCTGAAGGACGCCGAGCGCATGCTGGACGAGTTCAGCAGCAGGTTGATCAAAACAACAACAACAAAAACTCTTATTACTCGGCTACTTTAAGGTGACATTGTGATTATTTTTAATAAGGAGTGGTCACGAATTATTATATTGAGGCCACGAGTTAAGTTTCTCATTACTCGTGGTCTCAACATAGTAATTTATGGCCTCAAAATAGTAATTTGTGGACTCAATATAGTAATTTATGGCCTTTATATATTAATTTCGTCTCCATAAAGTAATTTGTGGCCTCAATATAGTAATTTATGGCCTCAAAAAAGTAACTTGTGGGCTCAATATATTAATTTTATGGTCTCTATAAAGTAATTCATGGCCACAAAATAGTAATTTGTGGCCTCAATATAGTAATGTATGTCCTCAAAAAAGTAACTTGTGGTCTCAATATATTAATTTGCGGTCTTGATATATTATTTAACGTGTCCACTCTTCACGTTTATCACAATTTATGGACTCAAAATAGTAATTTGTGGGCTCAGTATATTAATTTGTGGCCTCAATATAGTAATTATTGGCCTCAGTAAGGCCATGCCTTACTAAAAAATAATCACCATGTCACTTAGGAGCTCTGTAGCTATCAGCCTTAACCTCAGTACCTATAGATCTATTAATTTTTAAAATTCTTGAAAGAACTTTCGAAATATAATCTCTTCTTAAAGGGGAATTCCACCTACTTTTCAAAATTTGTGCACAGTTAAATGGTTAACATGCAAACAGAGTCATTTAGAGTGGTTTGATGTGAAACACCGTGTTCTAGAGATACTGACTTACTGATTTCTTTACAGTGGTGGTGATAGGAACCAGGGGTTGCCATGACTACAACACAAATATAGCCATTTACTATCCAAACCACCAGTGAACCTACACGAGTCTTCTGGCATTGGTGCATGTAGCCTTGATTGTTATGGTAAATTACGGTAAAGTGGCTACTAGCTGCATTACTTTCACAGTAAGTTTCTGTACCATATAAACAGTAAATAACAGTGAAAAACAACTGTGACTTCTGTGACCTCACAATCACCCGGGCCACTAGATAACTGTGATGTTGCTGTACACTTACAGTAATCAGCCGTAATTACAGTAATTTCCTGTATTTTTACATAACAACCTTAAAACTGTGCTGCATCCCAATAGCCTCCAATTTACATATAAAAAAAGTTGACTTTTAATTTTACCAGACATATAAATGTTACTTATAGGTATTTATTGTTAATTGAAACAAAAGTAAAAGATAAACTAAAATAAACAATAATATCAATGAACATGTTTATTCACCATGTTTTGCACTGTACATGCAAAGAATATCGTAAGAAAGCATTTTTAAATGCATATACACATTTTACAGACGTTTTAATTTTCTTATAATTTGCACAAACATCGCCAAAGCTTACGTCTGGTGATGCCAATAAACAATTTTTGTCCACACCTCAGTATTAAAGCAAAGTGTAAAACTTTAAGCCTTTTAAACACCAAAACTTTTATTCTTAATAAGCAAAACACATAAAATGTTTTTCACTCTCAACTGCTAACATTTTCAATAATAATGTGCAGCTCAACGTTAATCTCACAGTAATGTTTCTCACAGTGTATTTATGACCATTTCATGTAATAACTTGCTGTGAGGGAGCTTTTAGGTGGACGTCTGGTTCCTATCACCACCACTGTGAACAATTCTGACTCATTAAGTTTCTCTTTAAACCAAACCACTCTGAATGACTCTGTTCACATCTTAACCACTTAATTATACTGACATTTTAAAAAATCAGTGTCCCCCTTTAACTTCATTTACCCTTCCAAGACATTATGAACTCGCTTTGACTTGCTTTTAAATGCATATGTTAAGCTTCTCTTTGCTCCTAAGCGCAGCGTTCTTTGATTAATACAAAACTGAGATTTCGCTGTTGTCGGAAGAAAACCTCATATCTCCAAAATGGTAACTTTACAGGAGAAGGAAAAAACATCCTTTACTTTTAATGTAAGTCAATGGAACCAGACTTTTCTCCAAGTCATATTGGGTTGTTTCTTTTAGTCCATTCACCATGAAATTTACACACAATGTAAAGGCAACAGGTACTTTCAAATTATTTCAAAAACTGAAAAATGTCAAAAATGGAGATAGGAGATATGATTTCTTCTGACAACAGCGATATGCTTCATTTCTCCAAAGACAAAGAAAAGTTGATGTTAAGAAAGATGTTGTTCCTTTGGGCAGTTCTGAAAGTGAGGAGCATCTTCATTTTTCACAGTCTAGACTTACCAACCCTGATCCCGGAGAACTCCTGACCTTCACATTTTAGTGCTCTCTCTGCTCTAATACACCCACTTCAGAGAGAGGGAGAGAGGATCCTGATGGGTAGTATTTGTCTCTCGTCCATCTACATGCAGTTCTGTGGAAAAGTCAGTCTTTGATTATTTAATTTCCGGTCAGAATGGTCATTAAGTACAACTTATTCATTTTTCAGTGTCAAGAGAAAACAGAAAAAGAATTTGATAAAAACAACTAAATATAATTTTTTTTCAGTGTTTAATGAGTCACTATTTACCTTCATCACAGCTTCAACTCTTTTTCAGGAGACTCACTTTCAGTTCCTCAAAGAATCTGCAGACACACCTCCGAAGTTCAGTCTTAGAATTTGGTTGATCATTTTCTGAAGTAATCAAACACATTCAGTGGTGTTGAGGTCTGGACTCTGGGGTGGTCAGTCCATCGTTCAGCTTCAGTGAGGTTCTTTATGACAGCTACACATCCTTTCAGACCCACAGCGCTGAGTCGTCTCCTCACAGTGGAAGGATGGACAGAAACACCTGTGGATGTTTTCAGATCTGAAGCAGCTTGATTTTCTCCTCTCTCTCAAAGATGAATGCTTTAAGTGCTGTTTATCTGATGGGGGCAGTTTTGGTGGTCTACCTGGTCTTGCATGGTTATTAGGAGTCCTAACATGGTTTTGATTGTTTACTTATTGTCCTTTTGACTTTCTCTTTTCTTATGCAATGCATTATCTTATAGATAATCTCCTCAGAAACATCTACTGAAAACGAACTTGTATTTAATGGCTGTTTTGACTGGAAATTAAAGAAATGAAGGGCGGCTGTTGATTCTCTAAAGATAACCTAAGATGAGCATTTCTCATCCCAGACCTCAGGGACCCTCAGAAATACAGAAGATACTGGTGGATCTTATTTATCCCTTTCCTAACACGTGCATTTTTAAGTTTCTCCTACTTCAGCTCAGGATCAGTGTTTAGAGAATGAACATGTATTCTATTCACACACACCAGGCAGCGTATAATAAGAACACCTGTACAGGTGTGATAAGAACCATAGCGAACACTTATCAATGAATACCATACGCAGCAATGAGGTCAGGGCTTGTGGTTAATGTTTCATTCTGATAACTCTCTGTTGCTCACAGATATAGAAACGAGTGTGAATATCAACAACAGCTGCGGGGGACCCTGGAGCAGCTCAATAAGGTACGAGAGTATCAGAGAATCCTTTGAGTCTAGAACTTCCCCACGCTATCCTACATGTTACTTCCCTAATTGTGAATAATCCCACTGGATTACATGTAAATCAGTTTATCTGTGTCGTAAAGATGGAATGATAATGGAAACGTGACACGGCACGACTAATGGGAATCTGAGTTGGCGAGAACTCTCGGAAGGGTGTCTGGTTGATTACAGGCATCTGCTGTCTTGCTATTGATTTTCAAGCCAAGCAGCAAGCGTAATTGAGAGGAAAGCAAGTAGCAGAGGATGAGTTATCACTCTAGATGGATCAGAGCTGCGCCCCCCCCCCACCCCACCGTCAGCAGCAGCAGCACCACCACCACCACACACATCCTCTTTTAGATGCAGAGATGTTTAAACCTGAGAAACTGTGTCTTGTCTGTGATCTCTCTCTGAGCGTGTTTTCTGTGGGATCCGCAGGAGGCGGACGCGGCGCTTCTGAGGAACCTGGAGTATCAGATCGAGTCTCAGTTCCTGCAGGACGACATCAACTCCACAAGAGACAGACATAAAAAGGTAAGGAGAAAAGCGTGGCCAACTAATGATGTAGCAAGGATGGAAATGGGCCACCAAGCTGCCTCAGTTTCCAGGCCCACTGCTGCGATCTTATCTTCTGGAACATGTGGCTAGTAACCTTAAAAAAGTGATGGAATAAATTTACTTGATTTAAATATGTACATCACTTCCACAAGAGCCTGACCGATATATCTGCATTTATCAATATTAAGATTCAGCGGGTTGGGCTCCCGAGTGGCGCAACCGTCTAAGCGTTGGCCCTATCATCAGGAGATCGCGAGTTTGATCCCTGGTGATGCTACAGCCATCCGTAGCCGGGAGTCCGAGAGAGCACAATTGGCCTCGCTCTCTCTGGGTGGGTAGGATGGCCCCTCCTTCTCCCCCCATCACTCAGCGCGATGCTAGTCAGCGCAGGCGTCTGTTAGCTGACGTAACAGATCTGGCGGTTGGCGCTTTCCTCCATGCGCGTTCGGCTGTCCAGTGACGTTGCGTGAGCGGCAGTTCGAAAAGAAGCGGTGGTTGGCTTTTATAGGCCACATTTTATGCTTTATTTTTTCCCAATATGTTAAATTTAACAAATAAATAGTGATTGTGCAATAATATGTACAAACTGTTTAAAACTATGGGAGTATGTTTTATTTTTGACCCTATAAAATTATATCGGCTCAGATTATCAGATATCAGCAGCCAGTTGCATCAGCTGAGCATTAGTTTGGCCGTAGCCTAATTTGAACATCCTGCCACTACGTTCAAGTTTATGAGCTACTAGGATTTAACATAGAGTGTGTTTACATGTACATAATAATCCGATAACTGCAGAAAATCAGATTTAGTCAGTAATCCGATCAACGCAGTTACATGCACTTGAGTACTCAGATAATGGGAAACTCCAGGTCTACATGATTCAGACAGTAATCGGATTTCTGCTTTACAGCCAGCCAATAAACTTACAGCAAGGTAACGTAAACGTGACGTAAACGTAATGTAGAACTAGAATATTTTTCTGCAGGGTCATTCCAAAACCTGGTGGGCGACACTATTGAAGTACACAAGTCAACTGTGTTCAGAGCAGTAAGAGCAGCTCCATCACTGCTCAGGTTGTGTGTGACGCTGACCTTATTATCATACAATACATAACACAGATTATTTTTAAAATATAACTAACATAGCTAACATTACCTGTTTTATTATTCAGCGGATTCAAACAGCGATTACATTAGCCGCAGCTTGGCTAACGTTGTTGACCATTCGTTGATAAAGTGGTGGTTAAAGAGCCCAGTTTGAACACTGAAAACAATCCAAGCAGCAACACAGAATAAACACTCATACAAGAGATGGACACTTTGAAGACACCACTTTATTGTTAAACACAGTCTTCTTTTGTAATATAACTCAAACCACAGACGTACCTTAAACAAAGTAAATGTAGCATGGAGCAATGCGAGCCATTTCACTGCATGCGAAGATCATGCGTGTAGTGTTTCCTGTTTATGCCGGGTAGCGTTTCTGATTGGCTGCAGAGTGTAAACGTCATTCTGTGTGACAGTGTTTTGATCTAAGATCACTTTACTGTGTCTTTGGTGCAACCGAAACTCTGTATGTCGCTAGTTTCAAACTAAAGACTCTCAAAGTAACGTTTAGGATGGATTTACACCCCAATTTACAATCGAACTTATGTTCAGCTGCTGCAGCTGACTGCGATATTTAAAATCAGTGCCTGTAAAACTTTCATATCCTTTGGCCCCATATCATTTCCTCCTTTAATAAAATGTATTACATCACAAAATATATTACATTGATGAAAGTAAGTCAACTGAAAGACAATATTGTGTTGATACAACGATCAGGCATAACATTATGACCGCCTCCTTGTTTCTACTGCTCATTGTCCATTTTATCAGCTCCACTTACTATATAGGTGCACTTTGTAGTTCTACAGTTACAGACTGTAGTCCATCTGTTTCTCTGCATACTTTGTTAGCCCCCTTTTACCCTGTTCTTCAGTGGTCAGGACCCCCATGGACCCTCACAGAGCAGGTACTATTTGGGTGGTGGATCATTCTCAGCACTGCAGTAACACTGACGTGGTGGTGGTGTGTTAGTGTGTGTTGCACTGGTCTGAGTGGATCAGACACAGCAGTGCTGCTGCAGTTTTTAAACACCTCAGTGTCACTGCTGGACTGAGAATAGTCCACCAACCAAAAATATCCAGCCAACAGCGTCCTGTGGGCAGCGTCCTGTGACCACTGATGAAGGACTAGAGGATGAAGAACAGGGTAAAAGGGGGCTAACAAAGTATGCAGAGAAACAGATGGACTACAGTGTGTAACTGTAGAACTACAAAGTGCACCTATATAGTAAGTGGAGCTGATAAAATGGACAATGAGTGTAGAAACAAGGACATAATGTTATGCCTGATCGATGTATATTAATGTGGAAGTGATGTCCAGTGGACTGAGCAATACTTCAGATCAACTCTGACACCAGACAGTGATTTATACTTTATGTCTGATCAATATTCACATGATAAAGATGCATTCATTCTCTAAACAGGATCCATTGTAAAGTGTCATAACTGAAGCTGATTGAGGGTTGGGCTACAATAGCTGTAATAACTGCAGAGTCCCTGCAGAGGTCAGACAGGTCACTGCGCTGTGTGCTGAGATGGGCCTTTTTTCAAAAAAGGCTAGAACAGCCCCGTTTCTGCCAACTGCAACAACAAAACATACCCCAAGCTACAAAGACCCATTAGAGTGCATTGTGTACAGGCTTTGCACTGCTGCAAATGAGTGGCTCTTTCTGAACTCTGAATTCTCTGCACAACAAAAGGCTTGAATGATGCCTTCCAATAGCTCGGCTTGGCCTTACAGTGGGTATGAGAAATGGGAAGCGTTTGGGCCAGCATCCAAATCCAAATGCAGACGCTTAGTTTTATAGTGCTGTGTTACAGTTTGTGTTTGGTGTTCATGCACCATTAAAAATCAATACAAATATAATTACAGAGGCGTTAGGAAGCAGACAGTCATTTGCATAGTAGCTGTGAGTGGTAAAGCGTACAGAGCAAGATGTATATCAGCCTTTCATTTTAATTGTGTTCTTTAATAGCCTTATTATTTTATTAAATAGCCTTTAATAGACTTTAATAGCTGTATGCTTCGTCTGCACTGAGAAAAGTGAATGCATTGAACAGACTTCATGCAAATGTTTAAATCATTTTAGTGTGAAGGATGATGATCCATCTCTGTGTGAAGCATTTAACTTTAATCTAGGACTTATTGAATGTTTTGCACTTACTGTGTCTTATTTCTGTACAGCACATCTTTGTTTCTGGCACTCTCTCTTGTTTCTGGTGGTATCTTAGCTTAAGGGTAGTCTAGCCTATTTATTCAAGCCAGAAAACATTCTGTGAATAGAAAACAGAGCACTTTCGTGAGTTGCTGTGGATACGAGCATTTGCTAAATGCCATAAATGTAAGTGAATAAAATGTATTTCATCAACGCAGCCATTGCCAAAAGTGAGTAAAGTGAAAGTTTTGTGTTGATGTTATGTGTTTTATTAAGAAGAATCCTTTGATTTCTTTACAGTGGTGGTGATAGGAACCAGGGGTCGCCATGACTACAACACAAACTTAGCCATTTATTTAAATAGTGGTAAAAGTGGTAAAACAGTTTTCTTTAGATACATTAAAATTGCTGTAAAATTATGGTAAATTTGCTACTAGCTGCATTACTTTTACAGTACGTTTCTGTACCATATAAACAGTAAATAACAGTGAAAAACAACTGTGACTTCTGTGACCTCACAATCACTGGACCACTAGATAACTGTGATGTTGCTGAACACTTACAGTAATCAGCCGTAATTACAGTAATTTCCTGTATTTTTACATAACAACTTTTAAAACTGCACTGCAACCCAATAGCCTCTAATTTACTGTAAATTTACAAATAACATTAAAAATAACATTAGCATTAATTTTAATATTAGCATTAATTATAATTATTAATAACAAAGCATTAATTAATTAATTAATTAATTAACATGAATTAACATGTTTTATATATATATATATATATATATATATATACATATATATAATTTGCACAAACATCACCAAAAGCTTATGTACGGCAGTACCAATAAACAATACGATTTTTTGTCCACACCTCAGTGTTTACTACTTTATTTATTATTCAGAACCACCGGTGAGTGTGCACTTCTTCTTATTTTTTAAATGTAATGTTCAAGATGATAAAATAGTAGTAAATCTTGGGGACTACTTTTTCGTACAGCACCCTGCACATACCCCTCTACCATGAATACCTTTTAAAAATATGTTTTAGGCCAAAAAACTTAATAAAACTGTCATAAAACAATGTTTTAGCCATCAGGAAACATATTAATAACAATTTTATCTAGTAAGTTTTGAGGAAGCTTTAAGAGGTGTTAAACTCTTCAGACGTCTGTTTCTCTAGAACAGAGTATTTCACACCAAACCACTCTGAATGTCTGTGTTACCATCGTATCTATTTAATTATGCAGAAATATTGAAAAATCAGTGGAATTCCGTTTTAAGATAAGCATCTGAAAGTGGGCTATGATGCTGAAACTACTCAGTCACTCTAACTCCACAGGAAGTACTGTGAGGGCTGATTCAGGATCGATTTGTTCCCATCCAGCAATTTCTGCTGATATCAGCCTCATATCCATACCCATTCATACTGATATGCCATCTATGCTATAAAATCTTCTAATATTGCCCCTCCTCCCTTTCTGTCCTCTGCAGAACCTTGCCGAGATCCAGACCTACGTAAACATCCTGCATCAGATCAACCAGACGGCCATTCTAATGCCCAACATGTCAGTGGGCATCTCAGAGGTAGGCTGACCTTGTGGTGCATAAAGTGCCCCCTTGGGGGTAAAAGAGTGCCGAGTGTGTCACTGTCAGGCAGCGTCAGCAGGGCACAGAGGAGACAGTGACGGCGGCAGCAAACTTCAGCCGTGCTGCGGTCCGTGTGCCCGCTGTGATTAGACTCAGTTGGTGCTGATGTTCCTCTCCCACTTTGATCTAGTGCTGAAAGAGCAGCTGCGCTGCTTCTGTTAAGTGCCCAGTGTACATGACCTCCGGAGCTTTGTTCTTCACTTAGATCAGGAGAGAGAGATGCAGTAAGAGGGAGAGAGCTCTGTGATTTAGTGTTGTGTGGTGATGACGTCTGCAGTGAAAGTGAAATGACTTCTATTATAGGAAAGACTGGTACAGTGGGACTTGTGTTAGCCTCTCAGTTCAGTCCAGTTCATTGTAGTGAACTACATTGACCCATTAACCCGCTGACCCATTGATGTCCAACAAAGGTAGCATTTTAAGTAGGGTTAGGCAGTATAACAGTAATCAGGTATATCACAGTATTTAAAAATGATGTCGGTATTTTAATTATATGTCAAATTCCTATTCTGAATGACCAAATAAGCACATTCCACCCACTTATATTTTCGAGGGGTCACTGATTGGTGATGTGGGAGCTCACCGATAGGTGATGCTGATTGAAGGGGAACCAGGAAAAACTAAGCATGAAAGCAGCTTAGCTATGAGCTACACTCACCAGATTGCAAGAGTATAGCGGGCCACTGTTGGCCTGCTGATGGCAAATCTGACGGGCCTCTGGCTTTTTGCTCAGCATTTTCTGGGCAGCCCACTGGTGGTTAAGCTGAGTATTAGACAAAATGCCACTTTTCCTTGCACTCACAGTCCAATTTACATATCTTTCCTACATTTCTTTCGTTCATTATCCTTTGTAAATTTATTCAGTTAATAATTTTAGCAGCAATATCACGAATAAAGCCGGTTAAAAAACTGTAACCAATCAGGCGCAGCCGTCTAAGTGAGTGGATCAGACACAGCAGTGCTGCTGGAGTTTTTAAACACTGTGTCCACTTACTGTCCATTCTATTAGACACTCCTACCTTGTCAGTCCACCTTGTAGATGTAAAGTCAGAGACGATAGCTCATCTGCTGCTGCACAGTTTGTGTTGGTCATCCTTTAGTCCTTCATCAGTGGTCACAGGACGCTGATGGCTGTATATTTTTGGTTGGTGGACTATTCTCAGTCCAGCAGTGACACTGAGGTGTTTAAAAACTCCAGCAGCACTGCTGTGTCTGATCCACTCAGACCAGCGCAACACACACTAACACACCAGCACCACATCAGTGTTACTGCAGTGCTGAGAATGATCCACCACCCAAATAATTCCTGCTTTGTGAGGGTCCATGGGGGTCCTGACCACTGAAGAACAGGGTAAAAGGGGGCTAACAAAGTATGCAGAGAAACAGATGGACTACAGTCTGTAACTGTAGAACTACAAAGTGCACCTATATAGTAAGTGGAGCTGATAAAATGCACAATGAGCGCAGAAACAAGGAGGTGGTCATAATGTTATGCCTGATTGGTGTATTGCTTTATTGTAGTACTAACAGAGTTCCTGAGATAATTAGCCTAGGGTGCTAAATAAGCATTCTGCTGAAGGAAAAAAGACATAGCATACAGTACCTAATCGTGAATGTAATTGTGAAGATGTAACTGTGAAGTGGTTAATTAGCCTTACATGTATTATTATAATGTAGTGGTTCTTAACCCTGGTCCTGGAGAACCCTGCCTTCCATACTTTCTCTGCTCTGGCCCACCTGATCCTACTAATGGGCTAATTAACAAGCCCTTACTGAGTTGAAGTGGGTGTGTTAGAGCAGGCAAACACTAAAATATTCAGGAGAGGGCTACAACAGTACCAAGGTTAGGGACCGCTGGGGTAGTCTATATGAGGGGTTCCCGATCTTTTGCAACTCGTGACCCACACAACTGACCACAAAAGCTTCCGTAGCCCGCAAAAAGGTTCAAATCAAGGGTGCTCAATCCTGGTCCTGGACATCTGCCACCCTGGCAAGTTCAGATCTGGGTTGAATAGTTAAGCTTTCATTCTAAAAGCTTTCAGTACCTGGATGTGTTAAATTAGCATTGGAGCTAAGCTTTGCAGGGTGGTAGATCTTCAGGACCAGGATCGAGCACCCCTGGTTTAACTGATCCTATAGTTTTTTTTCTGTCCGGCTAATTAGATGGCTGATGTTGTTGGGCAGCTACCAAGTGCTGGATGTCTGGCTAAAAGAGGAAAGCTACAAATAGACAGCTCACTTTAGACAGGGTTAGAAGCACACTTGTTACGTTTATTCTCCAAGTCACATGAAGCCTAACGCTGTGCGCTCACTCCTTTCTTCGTAAAGTTTGGATTTCTTGCTTTTCTCATATTTCGAAGCTTTCCTCTTTAAGACCTTGTTTTTAATAATGTACCCATGTTAACTGATAATGAATTCCATATGATTGATAGAAAAGTGTAAATGTTTCACATTGATTTGCATTGAAAATATAAACATAACCAGCTAGCATGCCAAAGTAATTAACCTGCATAACATAAGTATTGTTTTTTACTAATAATTATCACAACAATAATATTGGTCATATTTAAAACAACTTTTGAATAAATGTTTTTATGGTAATTTGTGTGGTAAAAAAAAAACCTAACATCCAAAGGCCCCTAGTCGTACCACCATAGCCGCTCCCTCAGCGGGCCCACAGGTTGAAAATCACTCGTCTATTTAATAACACTCAGGCTACGAGATTCTAGCTGATTAGTGATGATGATTATCTCCAGATTATCTACAGCTGTACATGTACACTCTTTCTCTCTCTCTCTCTGTCCTTCTGTCTCTCTCTCTCTCCTCTTTTCTGCAGGAGCAGGAGAGGCTGATAGCTCAGAGGCGAGTTCCTGCCCTGCAGATCCAGCTAGAGGAGTACAAGAGCGCCCTCTGCCAGCTGCAGGCGCAAAAACAGAGGCTGCAGACAGAGGTAGGTCACCATGGAGACGGAGAAGGTTGGGGGGGTGGTTTAGGGGGATGGAGGTGGAGATGATGTTCATGCACTGTCACTGTGAGGTGCCTCAAAGGCTTTTCCATTGAGAAAGATTGACAGAACCGATGTATAGAACATCTTCCTCTATGAGCTTCCTCTTTGATATACAGTCAGTGAGCATGAAGGAGCACTCGGTGATTCATTCATGAAAAAACTTCTCTCAGAATATGTTTGATTCATTTATCTGAGGCAACATTCAGTGTTATAAAGGAGATACAAGGACTACACTAAGTCCTTATTGTACAATGTATTTTTCCACTTTGTGGAATTTGTGTAGATTTATATACCAAAAACAGTCAGAATTCATTTTTACTTGACCATTTTTAAAAACTCTATTTATCCCGTAATTGAACCGGCAGTTTTGGGACTGTGCCTTTAAGACTAATATATGTAAATTTGATGTCCTGTATTGCACCTCATTTTAAAAGCAGTCCTTCAAAAGTTTGAAGATCCCTTGTCAATTAACATTGTTGATTTTCTAAATTAAAATAAGTTAAATTTGCAAATTTTTACAATTTTTGTGCAAAATTCTATTTCTTTGTTTAACAAATAGGGTAAAACATCAAAGATAATACATACATGCTCCACACCGTATGCGCATTGCCACACTCTATGTTTTATTTTTTCACCATATGTTAATTTGGTAACACTGTATTTGGAGTGGTCCTTTGTAGATGATTAATAAACTCTTAACAGATTATCAGTAACACATCAATAACATATCAGTGAAGTAGCAGTAGGTAAATATATGAATAGACTGAAGTAAATATCTTGTAGATGTTCTGTTGATACATTACTTACATTAAGTAGATGTGTTGTTAATATGTTACTTCTATTACGCAAAACCTAACCTTACAAACCTTACCCAACGCCTAACCCTAACCCTGGCCTTACTCCTAACCCTGACCTTAACCTCAGCCCAAAACCTAATCCTAACCCTCACCCTGGCCCTAATCCTAACCCTAACCTCAACCCAAAACCTAATCCTAACCCTCACCCTGGTCCTAATCCTAACCCTAACCTTAACCTCAGCCCAAAACCTAATCCTAACCCTCACCCTGGTCCTAATCCTAACCCTAACCCTAACCTCAGCCCAAAACCTAATCCTAACCCTCACCCTGGTCCTAATCCTAACCCTAACCCTAACCTCAGCCCAAAACCTAATCCTAACCCTAACCCTGGCCCTAACCCTAACCTTAATCGCAACCATCACCCTGGCCCTAATCCTAACCCTAACCTCAGCCCAAAACCTGATCCTAACCCTCATATGTTTTTGACATGTCACTGAGAGGCCGTTGAGTGTTTGTTTCATCTACTCAAAACAAAGTGTCTCCATTAATTTCAGCAAATAAGCAGTAATTGTGCATTAAAATGTGCAGAAGTGTTTTCTCAGTAGAGGATGTGTTTATATTCACTTCAACACGTAATTTGACCAGGGTAAATGTAATTGGCTGTATTTCTTGTCAGTAATGATTGATGAAGTGTTGAGAAATATAATGCGATGTAGTGTGAAATACCTGCATACGACCACTTTTCATGTCTCATTTGGACATGAATAATGTACATGACACAACACCACTTAACTGTCACTGTCACCTCTCCCAGACCTCAGTGTTGGAGCAAACCATCAAGAGCACGCAGGAGAGCTATGACGATGAGATCCAGCTTTACAACGAGCAGATCGAGTCGCTCAGGAAGGAGATCGAGGAGGCCGAGCGCTCGCTGGAGAAATACACCAACGAGTGCCGACAGCTGGCCATATACCAGACCTCCCTGGAGAACGAGCTGGAGAGGTATAAGAGGATCATTGAGAACGAAGACAACAGGTGAGCTAGGCCTTCGTCCACACGTGGTCCACGGCTCAAAGATCTTACAGATTATGAGCACCACAGTCATAAACTGCCTTGTGCTGGAAATAGCAGATGTGGCTCATGCTGGCTTAATGTATGTCTGGTATATGATTCTTAATTTAGCCTCTTGTTGAGTGTTAATCTAACCAGTAATTCCACTAAACAGATTTATCGCCACAGGATGGCAGTAGAGTCTCAGGAACAGGATGGTGCCATTGTTTCTGTGACTTTCCCTTGTGTTTTGGGGGAAAAAAAAAAAAATCCTACTTTTTTTAGTTCTAAAAAATCTGCATTTAACTAACCTAAAACAGTGAACATTGTACATTTTTGCATTCTGCATAGGTTTATTGTAAGCTTGAGGGTTTAATGACTACAATGTCCTCTGATATGTGGATTTCTAAGTGTAGTTTGTATATAAATAAAGATTTCTAGTATTCTGCAAAACATAAATTATGTGTTTTATGAGCATCTTCATAAAAACTGTTTGTTCCAGACTGAAACCTGTTTTAAATCAGGCACCCCTGATGTTCCTTTTTGTGATTACGTTTCTCTCTTTCACAGATTGAATTCGGCTATAATTGGAACGCCCATTAGCCTGTTCACCACCAATTACAGATACACTCCCAGTTCCACCTCGAGCAGTCGAGGGAAAGGTGAGGATGGGGAAGGGGGAGAAACAGAGGGAGGGGCGTTATGTAACATTGCTGCGTCTGTTGTGTTAGCCTTAAAGGAGCAGTCCTTTTAAAGGATCAGTTTGAAAGATTTTCAAATCAGATGCTTTTGGTGATGAAATGCACGCTTATAAATTAATATATGGTGCAAAAATGGCCTCCTATAGGATTCCAGAGGCCACAGAACGACATTCAGTTTCAGCTTCAAAACAATGACACCACATCTTTGAGTTGTATTGAGTATGGCTGAGAACACTCTTAAACATAAAATTGTGCATTTGGAGCGATGCCCCAGAACAGAAGAGGGGAACTCCAGTCCTAGAGAGCCATTTGATGATTTACCTGCTCGAGCACACCTGATTCAACTCATCAGCTAATTACCAGGTGCAACTGGTGTGCTAGAGCAGTAAAATCACCAAAAAGTGCTGGACTCCGGCCCTCAGTTCCCCACCCCTGCCATGAAAGAAGCACTTTTTTGGTTCCCTAAAGAACCTTTCAACTGATGATTCTGAAAAGAATGATTGTAAATGAGATGTGAGTGTGAAGAACCTTTTAGAGAAGCTCCACATAATGTAAAGGGTATTAATTAAAGACCCCATATCCTACATTTTTCTTGTATTTTCTTTTTTCCTGAGGTCCACTTATTACAGATGTGTGGTTTTATGCACCAAAAGTGGTCATAATTCATTTTTACATGAGTATTTTCACACCACTCTTTGTTCCTTAAAAAGAAACAGGCTGTTTTAGTTACTGTGCCTTTAAAACTGATATATGTAAATTATTGGCTGCCCTGTGCCTCATTCAAAAATGCTATATATATATATATATATATATTGCAGCTAAACTGTTGAATAGGTCCATACATTTTATATATATATATATATATATATATATATATATATATATATATATATATATATATATATATATATATAGCAGCTTAGTTGAATGGTACCTTATGAAACTTTCACAGTGCTTACATATTATTTCAGAGTCTTCATTTCATAAAAAGTGAGAGCAAGTCTTTTTTTCCATGATTTGGGCCCTTAAAAGGTTTTTCCTTGTATGTCCAAGATGACAGTCGTTTTAGTTCTTAGAGTGTATTTCAACATATGAAGAGTTTCCTTTGATATAATGAGTTTTTGAAAAGAATAACAGCTAACCTATAACATAAAAACACATTTTTATTTCTCTAATAAAGGTGGTTTTAATCATAATATAGCACTGATATGTCTTGGATGTGTGAAGCCCACTTACAACAATGTATATCAATGTATAATATAACAATGTATATAACATGTTTATAATTGAATTTAGCTTTATTGTTTCATTCTAATGCAGTGTAGAAGCATCATTTCATCTCAAACGCAAATATTAAAAATATCGGATCAGCATAAGATCTGTGGCTTAATGATCCTTAACCAAAGATTTATAATATAACCCAGCTTCATAATTCGAATGTCTTAAAAAAGTTAGAAAAGGCTTCTGTGTCTGATCAGGACTGTGTAGACATTTCAGAGATGGTGGTGAAGCCATGGCAACATAAACTAACCCCCAGCAAGTGGTAGGCCTTCTGTACACGCTTTAAAAAGATGGTTCTTCAAGCATTCTTTAGCAAAGGAAATGGTTCTATATAGAACCATGAACACGTAAATAACACTTTTCATTATTAAATGTTCTTCAGATTGATGGAGAATGTGCTGTAGATGGTTCTATATAGAACTTTTTTGAGGTGGGTTCTATATAGCATCAAAAAGGGTTCTTCTATTGTTACAAGCTTGACATCATCACAATAGCAGAACCCTTTGTGGTGCTATATAGAACCCTTTTCAAAAAAGTACTATATAGAACCATCTACAGCACATTCTCAATCAATCTGAAGAACCCTTTCACGATGCAAAGAACCTTTAATCACGCAAATGTTTCGATATAGAACAATTTTCTGTACCGAAGAACCCTTGAAGAATAATCTTGTTAGGAGTGCAGCTTTTTGAAACTTTTATTTTTTGGAAAAAATCAAACTGAATCTGTGTGATATTAAGTTGCGGAGGTCTGACGGGCTGCAGGTCAGAGTTTACTGTATTAGTAACACGGCACCATCACTTCGGTAGAAAATCTCTGCTTTAGCGTTTGCACAGTGCGCGTGCTCAGTGTTCTACTTGAGGGGTATCATACCAAATTTTATGGGGTATTATCGCCTTCTACTGGGCTGGCATGCTCATGCGAGAGTTTTTGAGTCATCAGGGGACGGAACTATTCAAAAACACTGCTGATCAGAGATTTTTCTGAAGATGGATGGAATAAATGTTTTTAAAAATATTCTGATACAGGTCAACGAGGCTTGAGCTGCTGCGTATTAAAGTTTGTACAATTTTCTTGCTTTATTCTGTGACTTGAGGAAGGCAATGGGAGGTAATCTATAAAGTTTCGACCAGTTAATCGATAATTATTGATAACCTCCATGAAATCGATAAGTGGGATTTATTCTTTTTTTCCCTGTTTGTATGCAGTGTTCTGTGCTCTGTTATCCAAAACTGCAGTATTGGTTTTACTTTATTAATAAACACAGTCAGGAAAAGTCAGTGTGAAAAGGCCTTAAAGCTTTGTTACCCTGTCTGGCAAACCAGAAACTGTCTTAGATATACTGAATATGAATATCGCTGCTGTTGGAACAAAACCTTGTATCTCCATTTTTGTCGTTTTTCAGTTTTTGACATAATTAGAAAATGCCTGTTGGCCTTTACATTGTGCGTAAATTTCATGACGAATCAACCAAAAGAAACAGCCCAAAACGACTTGGAAAAAGTCTGGTTCCATTGACTTACATTAAAAGTAAAGTAGGTTTGTTCCTTCTCCTGTAAAGTTACCATTTTGGAGATACAAGGTTTTGTACCAACAACAGCAATTTGTAACCATAAAATATCCAAGGTTTAAAATAATCAAAATTGTAGTCATAATTTTGTCCCAATTTATTGATTTTTTTAAAACAGTTTATTATCTCAGCCATAGAAATTTATGCACTTCTGAATCACCAAAATACACTGAAAATCTGAAAAAAGATGCGTATGTGTTTGGAGTAGAAATGTGTGGCTGGTTTGAAGCCCTTCACTCGTTTAGCTTTTGATCAGGATGCCCACGCTGCTGTTCTCTCTGTGGCGCTCTTGGGAAAAAGCTGCAACTGTGAAGTCTGGAGATCAGCGCGCAGCTGCTGTAGCAATGATGCATGACGCTGACCTTTCCGACGAGCTCTTTTGGCACAACACTGTGTGAGCGTGGATCGCTTGACTAATTGCTGTGTGCACAAAGCAGCAACACCTAGTGATTCATTTGGCACAATAGTGGCTTTAAGCGTAAAAAGAAAAGGCTTAGGTGTGATTGTTCTCTTTTTGCATGTATTTAGGGCTGCGCAGACGATTGCGTGTTAATTGTGCGGTTTTAGCCTCTGCAATTACTTCAATTAGCATCGGAATTAATAGCTGTAAACGGCACCCCTGCTCAGTGAGTGAGATAATATCCGTATCAGCTAATTCAGTTCTCGCATGAGGTAATTCAATTCTCAAATCAGATTCTCCTGTTCAGTGTGATGTGAGCATGTTGATGATGAGTTGTTATGTGAGAAGTTTTTTTATGACTAGTAGATGTTCTATCACAGGTGTTTCCTCAGAATGTGCCGTTAGTCATTGTTAATCATAATCAAAACATCATGCAATGTAATTATAACTATACTTAAAGAGAAATTCCACCAATTTTTCAGAATTTCTGTGTAATTAAATGGTTGAGATGTAATTCAGAAAACCAACTGAGTCAGAACTGTTCACAGTGGTGGTGATAGGAACCAGACGTCCACCTCTAAAAGCTCCCTCACAGAAAGTTATTACACAAGATGGTTATGAATACGCTGCTCAATGTCTAATACAATGTTGTACCATAGGATTTTGGCCTAAAAGATGTTATTTTTTAAATACATTCATGGTGGAGAGGGACATGGAGGGTATTGTAGGGCAAACTAGTTCTCAAAGTCTGTGTTTTTTCCTGTCTCATTTTTTACCACCATCAACGTTACATATATAAATTCAGAAGACTCGTGTAGGTTCACTGGTGGTTTTGGATAGTAAATAAAATGGCTATATTTGTGTTGTAGACATGGCGACTCCTGGTTCCTATCACCACCACTGTAAAATCTGAGCCGACAAGTTTCTCCACTTGACATCAAACATCTATAATTATTTTGTTTACATCTCAATGACTGACCCTTTAACATAATGTGGTAGCACGATGCATATGACCATGTAAGACTCCATTCTTGGAAATTTTGGTCATTCTTGTTAACCATTTTTGCAGATATCACCCAAGCCATCCAGGACATCACCAGCGTCAAGCCTCGTCAGAAGTATCTTGCTAAGAAAGTGACCAAAAAGAAGGATCTCACTTCGAAAGACATGATGGACAGTGCCCAGGAGGAAAGAGGAACTGGTGAATGTGCAGAAGAGGAGAGAAGAGGAGCTGAGGAGGTGGAAGGGGAGGTGAAACAGGAGGAGCACGCTCCTCTGTTCAAGGGGGTTGCTCGCGAAGACGTGCCTGATGGTGCCCAGATCAGCAAGGCCTTCGACACGCTCTGCAACATCGTCCGGGACAGGATGCGCAAGTACAAGAAACCCGAGCCCATCGCCGACTTCTTCACCAAGGGCCGCTACGTCCTGGTAACGGGTGAGTCCAGCTACCTAGACCCCTGCTTCTATTCGTCCACGCCTTCCGCAGGCCACGTCTTCGTCACCATCTGTGATGACACGGTCCCCCCATACGAGCCCTACGAGCGCAAAACTCCCTCTCCCACTCCTTCTCCTGTCCCTCCCCCCATCCCTCTAACCCCACTGCCTCCCTCAGACGACGGCAAGGCTGATGAGGAAAGAGGGAAGGAAGGCGGCGAAGAGAGGAAAGGAGATAACCATTTGAAAAATGGAGATTCTGATAAAGCCAGACAACCAAAAAGCCCAACTCCACCGCCCGGTCCCGTCCCATGCCCTAACCACATGCCTCGAGGCCCCGGTCCCGCCCCAGAACCTGGTCAGCCCTCATCCCAGCGGAGCGACAAGGACAAGGGAGCAGAAGACAGCGGCAGGCGAAGGGGACCCTCACCTCGTTCCAGCGGCCACCCCCCAGACTCCATGAGCTACGAGAAGGTGGAGGTGGTGGAGTCGGTGGAGAGGCTCTCGCCTGACCACAAAGTCAAGGGTTATGAGGAGACTGCAGTGGTGGTGGAGACCATGATTGAAAAGACCAGCAAAAAGAAACACGGAAACCGCTCCACGTAAGAAGCTTCTGGCCAACGACCAAAGAAAAACACAAAAAACAACAAAAAAATACATTCCACTTATTCCTTGCCATTCCTGCCTCTTTTCTGCTCCAGCTCTGCCTAGCTCTACTACGTAGCTGCCCCACCCCCGGTGCTGCTTTACAACTCCCTGTGCCAACACCTTTGGCCTTTACTGTCTGAAAACTTGGGAACATCAACAGACGAAGAAAGCCCCGTCCTTCACCCCCAATGAAGGAATGTTTTGATACATTGTTTAAGCTTCAAACAATAGAGTGCCTTTTTCTAATCGGAATAATGCTGCTGCCCTCAGGAATATGTTTGCCCTCCACCCACAAACTCTAGAAGGCCCTGAGTTCAAGAGATTGAGTAGCTTCCAATTTGTTCTATTGGAATATTAGTAATTGCAAATCGCACAGTCCTGCTGTGTATTAATTGCTTTACAAATAAAAATTAAAATGTCCAAAACTGCTATTCTGTTGTGTTTGATTTTCAAAACTATGGTTTGGCAAAAAAATAAATTATACTGACCATTAAGCTGTCCATTGTTTTCCATTGTTTTATCAGCATGTTGAATCACTAATATCAGCCGTTGTGTCTGAATTCTGTCCGTTTTTATAGACAACAGTCAGAAAGCACATAAACAAGTGTGTTAAAGATTATTTAAAAGCTTAACATGGTCTGAGGTGTATGATTATTTAAGCATGGGGTTTGTTTTCTTCATGTGTTAACTACAGTAGCCTAAAAAAAATAGCAAATGAAGCATATTTTGGATGCCAAAAAGAGTTTGGATCACCAGACTTGTCATATAACAATAATAACAGATAAGGTATCACTCAGGTATGGAATCTGAACAATACCTTTAACATCATTTACATGCCGTACTCTTTAAAAAAGCGCTGAGGGTTTTTAAAGCTATGCACTAAAGCAGCGCTTTATACTCCATGTTTCTGAACAGTCTTTCTCTCTGCAACCCAGACTGGAGGTGTTCCTCTTTGTGAGCCAGCTGGAGATGACACTCATCCATTTTTCATGAAGGTGACCCGCTGGAGTGCAGATGTGACCTCTGCATAATCTACTCTCCCAGCCAGAGAGAGCGAGAGACAATGAGAATCTGTTTGTAGTCGCTCTCACACTGAGAAATTTACCACTGAATGTAGAGCCTGATTACCGAGAAAGCTTCAGTCTTTGTTAGGGCTGTCAGAATAAATTTCACATTTGAATATCTGTCAAATTCAAAGAAGGAAAATGTCCAATACAGAAAATGTCCACACTTTTACGGCATTCAGCAGACACTCCTATCCAGAGCGACGTATAAAAGTTTTGTTGTCCCCTCAGAGAATGCATCCATGAGTCCATGGAACCCTTGAGCTAAGATACCGTAGAAACAAAAGCCAGAAAAACACTAATGCAGAATTAAGACATAGCATAAGTGCAGCACAATAACTGCTAGAGTAGTGTTAATTAAACTGTGTCACAAAAGGTTGGGTCTTCAAGACTGCAAGGGACTAGAGTAGGGAGTAGAAGTGAGTAGAGAAAAGTCCTTATCCTCATCTTCCATGTGTCTTGAAGTATGGCAGGTCAAGCTGAGCCGTACTTGAAGCTCGAAGGGCTCGAGGTATGGACCGAGTTTTGACCACTGCCCCAGGTAGGGAGGGGCTAGTCCATTTTTGGCTTTGTTGGCATCAGGATTTTTAAATTTAGGAAGCCAGTGAAGGGAACGAAGCAATGGAGTGACATGAGCAAGACCGAAGACCGTGCTGCTTCATTCTGGATCAGTTGGGCGGGCCTGATGACTCGCATAGAAGACCAGCCAGGAGTGAGTTGCAGTAGTCAAGCCTTGAGATGACGAGACTGAACATGCACCTGAGCGGCCTCCCTAGAGAGAAAGGGTCTAATTCTCTGGATGTTGTAGAGGAGAAACCTGCATGACCGAGTCAGGTTTGTAATATGAGCTGAGAATGATAACTGGTTATGCAGAGTTACACCAAGTCTTCCAGATGGAATGACTGAGGAGTTCTCTGAGATGGTAAGATCATGGTGAGGATATGTAGTTCCAGGGGTGAATAGCAGCTCAGTCTTGCTAGGGTTGAGATTCAGGTGGTGAGCTACAATCCATGAAGAGATGTCAAATGCAAAGATGCGACTGGAAACCTGAGTGTCAGAAGGTGTGAAAGAAAGAATTAAATGTTATCAGGGTAGCAGAGGTAGGAGAAGCCATAAGGGGATATTACTTCACCAAGAGAATGGATGTAAAGTGAAAGGAGAAGAGGGCCCAGCACTGAGCCTTGTGGGACACCAGTGGAGAGCCTGCGTGGAGCGGATGTCAACCCTCTCCATGTTACCTGATAAACGTATCCTTCCAGACTAAAACCACTTCCATGCAGAGCCATCGATTCTAATGTTGGTGAAGACAAAGAGGAGGGTCTTGTGGTTGGCCGTGTCAAAGGCAGCAGAGAGGTCAAGAGCGTTCATTAACCGATGACAGTTTGGCTGATCTTGCTACCTGGATTTTCTTAGTCACTGTTACAAGGGCAGCTGTGTGCGCCGGGTTGAAGCCAGACTCATTGTGGTCCTGGAGCCGGTTCTGAGTGAGAAAGAGAGACAAATTATTATAGATTGAATTTTTGAGAGGAAAGAAAGGAGTGGTACTGGTCAGTAGCTGCTGACATCAGAGCTGCCAAGCTTGAGCTTCTTCAGAATGGGTGCCATCCTGGCAGTCTTGAATGCTAATGGAACATGACCTGATGACAGGGACCTGTTTATGATGGAAGTGATGAAAGAAGCAGGTCCCTCAAAAAACTTACCTCCTAGCATGTTCCAGGCAAATTAGCTACTAACAGTATAACAAATGACAGCTATCAAATGGAGGGAAGCTCATACCATTGCTGACCATGAACAAACAAAACAGCAGTTTATTTTGGTCTTAATTAGAATTGTATTGGGTTTTACCAGAGAACATAGAATGAGGAGAATTGCCACTCACTTCTGGATTTGTCAGATGCTAAAAACCAGGAAGGCCAATGAATGGGTTCTGATGGAGATTTGTAAATTGTAGTTTCTAAATACGTCAGAATTATTATACAAAAATGCACCTGTTTTTCTCCACACAAAGCAGCATAAAATACACTATATTGCCAAAAGTATTCACTCGTCTGCCTTCACACGCATATGAACTTGAGTGACATCCCATTCTTAATCCATAGGGTTTAATATGATGTTGGCCCACCCTTTGCAGCTATAACAGCTTCAACTCTTCTGGGAAGGCTTTCCACAAGGCTTTCCATGTTTACGGGAATTTTTGACCATTCTTCCAGAAGCGCATTTGTGAGGTCAGACACTGATGTTGGACGTGAAGGCCTGGCTCGCAGTCTCCGCTCTAATTCATCCCAAAGGTGTTCTGTCAGGTTGAGGTCAGGACTCTGTGCAGGCCAGTCTTCTTCCACACCAAACTCACTCACCCATGTCTTTATGGGAGTTGGGAGCATAAAATTGTCCAAAATCTCTTGTTCTGCTGAAGCATTGAGAGTTCCTTTCACTGGAACTAAGGGGCCGAGCCCAACTCCTGAAAAACAACCCCACACCATAATCCCCCTCCACCAAACTTTACACTTGGCACAATGCAGTCAGACAAGTACCGTCTCCTGGCAACCGCCAAACCCAGACTCGTTGATCGCATTGCCAGACGGAGAAGTGTGATTCGTCACTCCAGAGAACATGTCTCCACTGCTCTAGAGTCCAGTTGCGGCGCTTTACACCACTGCATTCGACGCTTTGCATTGCGCTTGGTGATGTAAGGCTTGGACGCAGCTGCTCGGCCATGGAAACCCATTCCATGAAGCTCTCTACGCTGTTCTTGAGCTAATCTGAAGGCCACACGGTACCACACTGGAATTCACTGAGCTCCTGAGAGCGACCCTTTCTTTCACAAATGTTTGTAGAAGCAGTCTGCATGCCTAGGTGCTTGGTTTTATACACCTGTGGCCATGGAACTTGATCGGAACACCTGAATTCAGTGAGTCAATACTTTTGGCAATATAGTGTATTTAAACATTATATTTTGGCTTTTACTCAGCCAATGAGCTGATCAGCACATCAACCAGCCAACACCCAGTAGCAGTAATGCTAGTCAGACAAACAAATATATGTTTGCTGTAGAAAAATAGAAAGATACTGGTGGTTTTATTTAATTTTTTATAGAATACAGTCTTCTACTTTCCAAAATTAAAAGAACTTTCCATATAAATTGATTAAAACTCATTTTTTCTTTTTTTACCTGTTTAGCCCCATTCATTGAGGAGTCCCTCATGGGTGCCCTCTAGCTTTTTGCAGTGATTTTTCTGGCAGAAAAAGGAAGCTCCCTTTAAACTAGCTCAGCTTTTAAATGCTATGGGGATACAGGTGAATGTCCAAAAGTTTTTTAGTAGCTCAATCATTCAGAACAAGGCGCTATGTTTACTTAATACGCTGAATAATGTTAATAGGCAAAACAGACGTAGCCCAACGATCTGCTTCAGATGGCAGACTCTTCTGACAAGCAGGCACTCAACTTGTGTACGCTTTGTAGCGCAGTAAGCTAATAATCACCTAATATCTAAGTGAAGGTGTGTGGTTAAGCTGCTAAACAGCTACTGCAGCCGCCTGCACCAGTTACAGACTTTAATTTTCACTATGCGTCACAATCTTTAGCTTATAATGACAGCAAGGTTTATATAAAAAGTCCTTCTCAGAGATGCATTAAATAAGACTATATACCTTTTTTGAGGACCATCTTGAGAGATGCGACCCTCAGGCTGAGAATCACTGGTTTAAAGCCTAGACTGAATGGTTAAAACCCCGGGTGCTGTAAAAGTCACTCGATAATTTATGCTGAGCCTTGGTTTTTGCTTATTGAGCTGTTATTTACTGCAGTTATGTATCTTCTTATTTTCATTGCAAAATAATGTTGTTTTAGGGGTCCAAGCACTGTAGGTGCCAGATCCTTATTGTTTTGCTCAGATCCACATTAGTTATTTTTTTTTCCCTAAAACAAATCTTACAGAC